GGCCCACGGTCTGGCGCACAGAAGTACCCCGGAGCTCTGCGTAGGTATTTTTCATTGGCTTACCCTGCTGACAGCAAGGAAAACTATGTGACTGGTAGAGCCCACTCCACCCCACCCACTGGACATTCACCCTAGGCAGGAGACCGCGTGTGTCTGTAGAGCTGTTTGGACTTGGATTATGACTGCGGTGGGCTGTCTGTGATTCTATCTGAACTCTGACCCCAGCAGCTCACTCTCACCCTCCTCCCACACACCCAATTTGGATCTTTCTCTCGTCCTCAAGCAGCAGAGTCGGGCTGTCATGGGTTCAAATCCCGGGTTTTCCTCACTGTGTGACTTAGGTAGTGTCACCCCGCTGAGCCTCAGTTTCTTCATCTGTAGCATGGAGATGGGGACTTGTACTCTGTAGGCTGGGACGAGAGCCACTGTGCCCTTCCCAGAGCAGCGACCCTCCGGACGAGCACAGTTATGAGTGAGAATGGTTTTGCCAAGTGCCGTGTTTCCCTAGGCCCTGAATCCCAGGGAAGCAGGGCTGGGACAGGGGATGTTTCAGCTTCTGCAGCTAGAGAGGAAGGACCCTGGGGTGAGACCAGCGTGACCAGCAGGGGCGGGCATGGGGGACGTGCGCTTCGCTCCCTCCCATCCTGGCTAGGTGAAACCTGCCTTAGCTTGTCAGGAAGTGCATTCTTCTAGGGGGCCAGAGGACTTTCTAGGACGTCTCTGACTTCCTGGCTTTAGGGCCCAAAGGGCTGTGGCTGTGGTTTCCACTTTAGGACATTGTGGAGGAAACAGCTTCACACCGGCAAAGCCACTCCCAGTGCTGGTCTGGGGGAGCTGCAGTGGTGGCAGGGGGAGGTTAACCTGGGTTTCTCTCTCTCTCTACTCCTTCTTCAGCCACTCTAAGGTGTCCCGTTCCTTTGCCAGGGACACCTTACCCACATGTGCACAGCTTGGCAGCCGCAGCACAGTATAGCCCTGGCGGAACACAGTGACATTTGTGGTCTTAATCATGTCTGGGGGACCTGGAGCCCTGGGGCTTTGAGGGGGCTGTCGTAGCAGGGCAAGAATCCCACTGTGAGAGGTGGTGGAGGGGAAGGTGCCAGCCTGCTGCATTTGACTGGAACAGCGTTTGCTGAAGGCTATTCTGCTCTGTGGCCTGCGTCTCTGGCTTCCTTAAAGTGATAATATAGAATATTAATTGCAGCAGTCACTCCCACTGATACAAGGTGCCTGTGTGTGAGCTGGCTAGGCGCTTTGGCACATAAGAGCCAAGGAATCCTTCCGATGAGCCTAGGAGGTTGATATTATTAATACATTTTATGGATGAAGAACCTGAGCTGGGGTGAGGCTCAGAGAGGTCCAGTTACTTCCCTGGGGTCACACAGCGATCCAGGACAAAGCAAGGATGTGGTCTGTCTGACTCCAAAGTCCACCCTTTTTATTTATTTATATATTTTTTGAGATGGAGTCTCACTCTTTTGCCCAGGCTGGAGTGCAGTGGCACTATCTCGGCTCACTGCAACCTCTGCCTTCTGGGTTCATACGATTCTCCTGCCTTAGCCTCCCAAGTAGCTGGGATTATAGGCACACGCCATCACTCCCAGCCAATTTTTGGATTTTTAGTAGAGATGGGCTTTCACCATGTTGGTCAGGCTGCTCTCGAACTCCTGACCTTATGATCCACCTGCTCAGGCTCTCAAAGTGCTGGGATTACAGGTGTGAGCCACCGTGCCTGGCCAGTCCACCCTTTTTATTAAATTACACTGGCTGTCATCGTGATGAGCCCCCAGCCTGCCAACACTGTATGACACCACCCGCAAAGCCCTGTCACTGTCACCCTGGATCTCAGAAGCTTCCTCTGGAGCCAAGCCCCCTGAGAGTGACTCTCAATGTCACGCCACTGAGATCATCACTTTCAGCATCACCCAGCGTGGTCCAGGGAACCCATAGTATGGGGAAGGGGAAGCTCAGGGTACCCCATCCCCAGGGGCTGTGCCTGGGCAGAAGTTAAGGGGTCGGGCAGCACAAGTCCCTTTTCCATCCGCTTCTCATGGCCTGGAAGTGCCCCGGGGCGTAGGGCCCTCGTCTGTCTGAGCCCTTCTCCGCAGCACCCAGGAAATGCCAGGACCTTTTCCTAGTGCGCCTCGCTTGCTCACCCTGCAGATGGGCCTGGTTACACCCCCCCTGCAGTGTGAAGGCAGGGGACACCTGTGGGTCCAGGGGAAGGGATCACACATGTGTGTGGCCTGGTGTGGGGGGAGTTTCCCCCACTCTGGGTTTGTGTGTACGTGGGAAGGAGTTTGCATAAGGAGCGGGGTCAAGGAGCTGAGTCAGGGCTCAGGGATTTCTATCGCAGTCAAGGACAGAAGCATTTCAGCCACAGAAACACCGACCTCCCTTCCTCTCTCTTTTCGATCGGCAGAACCAACCCAGGGGAGGCTGCTGCCATGTCATCTCAGGGGCTCTCAACTGCAGAAAGTTTCTACTGTCTCCTATGACCCAAGGGTTTGGAACTTACCACCTACCCCTATCCCACAGCCTGGGCTATATGGCATCCTGGGTGGCATTTGCGAATGTACACACACACACACACACACACACACACACACATACATACACATACACACATACAGACACATACACACACATGAGCAAAGAGGCAGATTACTCCAGACATGCATATCTGAACACATAATCAATACATGTATGTGCACACACTTGCACATACTTGAATGCCCACACATATAAACATGCAATGCAAGGGTATACATGTGCAATCACGCTCAGGCTTACAACACACATGTTCTTTCCGATACACAGGTGAAAGGCAGGCTGGCAACAGAAACATACACCCAAGCACACATACATTCATGCAAGCACACACACAGACGCACACACAGACACACACACACGCACATACATCCTTGTGCACACACCGGCACATATACACACACGTTCTCTCCCAGACACATGTGAACACAAAGGCCAACCAACCCCCACACATACATTTGCACACACCCATGCACACACATTTGCACACACTCGTGCGCACACACACATGCAGTCTCTCTAGGGGCCCAGCCACAGCTTCCCCTGCCCCCTGGACTCTCAGCACTGACTAGACGAAGCTCCCAGGGAGTCCTCCAGCCGGCTGACAGCTGCCTGAGATCCATCATTTTAATTCAGGGCTTTTTCTGCTCCTTGGAGTAAGTCGAGTTGCCGTTAGTGCTGATTTATGGGGACAATCCATTCTCCACTTTTGATTACGGTTGTTTTCCATAATTATCATAAACACTCTTTGCTTCACTTGAGATTTTCTTTCAGATTTCCCTACTGCACTTCTCTTCAAGTAGCAAGCTCTCTCCTGTGCTAACTTAGAAGCATGCCCCCATGGGCTCCAGATGAGAGGGTGACTTTTGGCTCATGCCTGAAATCCCAGCACTTTGGGAGGCCGAGGCGGGCGGATCATGAGGTCAGGAGGTTGAGACCATCCTGGCTAACACGGTGAAACCCCGTCTCTACTAAAAAAAAATACAAAAAATATTAGCTGGGTGTGGTGGCACGCCTGTAGTCCCAGCTACTTGGGAGGCTAAGTCAGGCAGAAGAATTGCTTGAACCCGGGAGGTGGAGGTTGCAGTGAGCTGAGATCACACCACTGCACTCCAGCTTGGGTGACAGAGCGAGGCTCCATCTCAGAAAAAAAAAAAAAAATTCAGGCCTCTCTAAGGATGGCCACCCTGTCATGTCCCACAGTACAACTTAGGGCTTCTCCTAAGAAAACCCAGAATGAAACAGCCCATCATGTGCCTCATTTCTAGAAGACAGCAGATATTTTAGGAAGGGGATCAGGGCTGGGAAGGGGACACTGGGTCTTGGGGGAAGAGTGTCAACTGGCACTCTAGGACCCTGGCCCTGAGATGCCCTGGGGTTCTTCTGAAGCTGTCTTCCCTTCCTCATCGGAGGGAGATCCTCTGGAATTGGCAGCACTGGGGAGAAGGCTGTTACCCCAAAAGCCTTGGTGAGGGCCTCCCACTTCACTCTCTGCCCGCCCAGCCTCCCTGGGAACCCTGATCCATTCTCCATTCTCCTCTCCCTCTGAGTGCTTCAGTGCTCACCATGAGGCACCTCCCAGAACCCCTGGAAGATCATGGGGACCCCCAGGCTGTTATCACTCCAGGGCTGAGCAAGTTGGAAGATAGAAAATAAAAGTCATGGCTGGGTGCAGTGGCTCACGCCTGTAATCCCAGAACTGTGGGAGGCTGAGGTGGGCAGACTACTTGAGGTCAGGAGCTTGAGGCCACCCTGGCCAACATGGTGAAAACCCATCTCTACTAAAAACACAAAAAAATTAGCTGGGTGTGGTGGCACAGGCCTATAATCCCAGCTACTTGGAAGGCTAAAGCAGGAGAATCGCTTGAACCAGGAGGTCGCAGTGAGCCAAGATTGCAGCACCGCGCTCCAGCCTGGACGACAGAGCAAGACTCTGCTGCAAAAGAATAAAAGGAAAAGTAAAGTCATGGAGGCCCTGGGAAGTCTGCCAAGAAGACTGTCGTAGCCAGAGAAGCTCAGGTGGCCATTCTGAAGACGCCCCTTCCCAGGTGTGAGGCGGACCACAGAGGAGGCACTCGAAGCAGGTGCAAGGCCCTTTTTGGAACACATATCAGCTGGTCCCATTTAAAGGACACAGACGAGGCCACCCCTATCTGGAATGAATGAAAAGCACCAGGGAGCTCTTGACTCTCGGGATATGTCATGGGGTCACAGAGTCAGCAGACGTGCATGGGACTTAACAGCTGTGTGACCCTGGAGAGGGCCTGCTACCTCTGTGGGCCTTGGTTCTACCAACTGTAAAATGAGCTCGCTGGCTGGAAGCAGCACCATTGGTACTCAGTGGGTGCTGATGGACACGACGGGATCTGGCCCTGCCCAGGGTGTGTCTGGTGGGTGCCACCTGAGCAGCACAGTCCCCCCATGTGCCTCCGGGTCCCCGTTGTACTCACAGGCCACCTGGACTTCAGTCTGCCGCTGCAGCAGGGCCCCCATCCGGTTCCGCACGATGCAACGGTAGAAGCCAGCATGGGTGCGGTCCAGGCTGGTGATCACGTATCTACGGGACAGACAAGACAGCCAGTGAGCAAGTCAGGCAGCTGCAGGGGTACAGAGGTCACACTGGGCTTAGAGGTCAGAGGTCACTGAATCACCCTGTTTTGGAATAAAGTTCCAGGGAACTCTTGACTCTCTGGCCATGTCATAGGATCACAGAAAGATATTTACCAATAAATAGGAGGGATCCTCCCAAAGCCAATGAGGCTTTTGCTCAGCCGCCCGGGAATTAGCCTGCACTTCTCCAAGCACAGAAGGTGCTGTGCCCAAATCCTTTACCCTGACCTTGGGGCTGTGTCAGCTCTGTTGGAAGCAGCTGTTCTCCCTGACCTGTGATTCAAATGACTGAGAAAGGTGGGGGCATTTGTTTTTTTGTCCTTGCAAAGGACTGTGCTATAAATAGTAGTTGAAATGGATGGAGGTGACAAGGACAAAGAAATTTACATGTTCCCCCAAATGCTCAGTATCATTCCTTCCTTAAAATTACATACAGCTCCCGATATGGTTTGGCTCTGTGTCCCCACCCAAATCTCATCTTGTAGCTCCCATAATTCCCAAGTGTTGTGGGAGGGACCTGGTGGGAGATAATTGAATGATGGGAGCGGGTCTTTCCCAAGCTGTTCTCGTGATAATGAATAAGTCTCACGTGATCTGATGGTTTTGTAAGGGGGAGTTTCCCTGCACAAGCTCTCTCTCTTTGTCTGCTGCCATCATGTAAGACGTGACTTGCTCCTCCTTGCCTTCCGCCATGATGGTGAGGGCTCCCCAGCCACACGGTACTGTGAGTCTATTAAACCTCTTTCTTTTGTAAATTGCCCAGTCTCGGAAATGTCTTAGTCAGCAGCATGAAAACAGACTAACACAGCTCCACTGAGGCTTTTGGGGTTGGTGGGGGTGGGCAGAGCCTTCTGAACGAGACAGGCCACTCTTCATGGGCTCTGGGGACAGGATACGGGACTCCAGGCTGACCCTGCTGATAGCCTGCTCCAGGAACACTCGTTACCCACAGAGCAGCAGACTGGCATTGGGGGACAGGTGGCTGGGAGCAGGTGTATGTGCACTCACTCAGCTGAGAGGCAAGGAGGAGGCAGGTCAGTCAGAGGAGATTCTGACAGTGGGACATGAGTGGATGTAGGGGACCAGGGATCAGGGGCTAGTTCCCTTGGTTGAACCTTGGTGACCACTTTTCCCATCCCTAGGTAATGGTTCCACAGGACCCTCAGAGGAAGAAGGGATATCCTAGGATATCTCTCCCCAATTCTTGGGTATCCTAGGGTTTGCCCAGCTGACCTGATGGACAGGTTCTTTGACACCTGCCCTTAGGGTATCCCTAGGTGTTCCAACCCTGGGATGCAGCAGCCCTATTCTGGGGAGATGCCAGTTTTGTTCTGTTAACACATGAGATCTGGCTAGGGCCTGTCATCAACATCTTCCCAGGGATGAAACGACAACCATCCCTTTCAGAGCACCATCTGTGCATCAGACACTGTATTAAGTACTTTTCAGATGTTTCCTCATTTCACACAGCAGCTCCCAGACTGTTGAGTATTGTGAACCAGTAACACTGAAAAATGTGGGATCAACATGGGACTGTGAACTTCTTCCTTTGCCAGGATTATTAAAACCAACCAACCAGAATGCAAACAGAAAATCAGGCAAAGACAACAAAAAAACCTTCAAAAGGGATAATATTAAAAAGTGCCATGAGAGAAAAATAAATAGAAATGGTCAGCATTTTATTTAAAAAGGACATTTCTGAGACGGCAAAAAACCCCTAATCACAGCATAAAGACATTTTTTAAACTTCTTTTTTCTTTCTTATATTAAAAAAAACTTTTTGAAAAAAGAGATGGGGGTCTTCCTATGTTGCCCAGGCTGGTCTTGAATTCCTGGGCTCAAGCAATCCTCCTACCTCTGCCTCCTGAAGTGCTAGGATTACAGGCATAAGCTACTGCACCCAGCCAATTTTAAATAATTTTTTAAACTTAACTTTTACACAAAGCTCATTGACCCTTGCCCGATTTTTATGAGGACAGTTGCAAACTGTCATGGGTCAGCATTTGAGAGCTTGTGACTTAATCTCCACACTAACCCTGCTGGCATCTTCCTTCTAGAGATGGAGAAGTTGAGTCTCAGAAATACCTTGTCAGTAACCTGTAAGTTTCACACACTGTAAGAGGCAAAGTCCAACAGAGCCTTTCAGACCCCAAGCCTGGCTGTGAAGCTGAGGTCACATCCCTAGGGCCCCACCCTCCATCCTGGGTCTGTGCAGGCTTGACTCAAGCTGGCCACGTGCCAAGTTTGCTCTGGCTTTGCAGCATTTTCCAGAACTTTCTGGCTGCCCAAGCCCCTTATCTCTGCCACCGGCTGCAGCTCTTATCTGTCTCTTGCTACTGTGCGCAGCTTGATTGTGGGGAGACAGCAGTGCCCGAGCTCTGGCAAATCCCTCTTCCTCCTTTTACCTCATCTTCAAATCCACCCTCAGCCCTCGCTCCTGCTTGCTGCCCATCTCTCCCAAGGCGTGGGGAGGCTGCTATGGAGGAACTGCCTTGGTCTTTAAAGCGATGGGGTGACCACAGAGGGGAGATGGAAGAAGAGGTGGGCTGGAAAAGCTCTCTGCCTTTGGAAATGAAATCAGATATTATTAAAAAGCACTGGAGAGAGGAAAAGAAATAGAAATGGCTGATAAACTCATGAAAAGATGCTCAACTTCTGTCATAGTGAAAGAAATTCAAATCAAGACGATAAGACCATGTTTGCCTGGCAGATAGTCAAAGAGTTTCAGGTGTGGTCAAACCCAGTGGAGTCAGGAGTGAGGGGGTGGGGAAGCTGTACCCACAGGGCTGTTGGTGATACTGGAAATTGGTCCAGCCTTTGGGAAAAAAAATCTATGGAAGTTAGAGTATGCCAGCTTTTTGACTCAGAGGTTGTGCTCTGGGAGCTGGCCTTTTATTTATTTATTTATAATTTTTTTGAGATGAAGTCTCACTCCTTCGCTCAGACTGAAGTGCAGTGGCGCAATCTTGGCTCACTGCAAACCTCCACCCAACAGGTTCAAGCGATTCTCCTGCCTCAACCTCCCAAGTAGCTGGGATTACAGGCACCTGCCACCATACCCAGCTAATTTTTTTTTTTTTTAAGTAGAGATGGGGTTTC